GCTGGCCCGCTGTTGGGCGTCAGCCCCTTAAATTCGGCCAGGGGCCCGCGGGGCCTCGAGCTGGCCGTGTCCATGCCGTAGGCCTTCTCTCCTCTCCGAAGGAGAGAGGGGCCGCCGCCCCTGCCGCCGGAGATCGCGTACCATCAAAAAGTCCCGCGTTTTACAGTGTTTTTTGCTGTTCCCATTTTTCGACTCTTGTGGCCTAGGATGGGCCAACCTAGCCCTACATAGCCCCAAGATGGGCCAACCTAGCCCTAAGATGGGCCCAAATTGCCCTCAAGATAGACCAACATAGCCCCAAGATGGGCCAAGATAGGCCAACATAGCCCCAAGATGGGGCCATATAGCCCCAAGCCGCTCACCCCTATCACTTCAACATGGGCCCCTGGCCGGCTGTCGCGCGTAAGCGCTTAAATTTGTTTGCACCGCAAGTAGCAGCCAACACTCGCCATAAGGTACCTACTCAAGAACGAGGGGCACTGTCGGTGGCACTTGGGTGAAGCCGGACATAAAAATTAGACATGGAAACACATTTTATGAATTTGGAAATAGGAACCAGCAGGCTGTACAGAGTGGCAAAAGCGGTAAACCAGTTCATTTCCAGTGCGTTATGACATATTCCTGCTTCACAGTTAAAATGGTAAAAGGCAAAACAGTGTACCACTGGGTTTACCTGGGAAACCCATCCATGCAACAGTTGCGTAGCCGGCCTCGAGCGTATGGATGTCTAATCGCCTCGGCCTGAAGAGCAGCATGCGCCTCAGCAGCATGCTCCCACTGCCACTAGGCAACTAGCCTCCATCAGCAATCATTTCATCAGTATGCTGCAGATGTTGGTTTTTGCATGTTTTTATGCTGCCATTGCTCCTCTTCTCCTTCAAGTTCGAGACATTCTTCGATTCCTTGGCGTGGGATATCACCGGGTAACCAACAAACCAAGCGGACAGATTACCAACTACAATTAGAATTGGGCATATATTAATATTAATATATATATATATAAAATGCATATATACACTCGTTGGAGGGATTTGGAGGGTAAGCCACCATGAAAAGGGAATAGAATCGGGATATGTCCCAACTTCCGAGAGAAATGCTTCACACTATGATGCTGCTGTGGGCTCATGGATCCCAGCCCTATTCCTGAATGGAGGTCAAGCCACACCCTTTGGTCTAGCAACTGAGACTTCAAAAACAGCCTGATAAGCGCAATGGCCATACAACCAATACTTTACACGGTTCAGCAACTAGCTATCTTCTCCATAGTGATTGATCATGATTGATCCCTTTGAATGGTAGGAATGGTAGGAATTGAAACCCCAACAACAGCTCTCCTGCGCTCAATGCACTTATTGCAGTCTGCTTCTAACGGAAAAAGATCGTTTCGCTATGTTTTGTTGTCTCTTCGGAAGGCTGTGCCAAACAAACCTGAATACCCTGAATAGCTCATCACACGTGAAAAACATCAGCTGGAAATCCCTGGAAATTCGCAGAAATCTGCTCCCAGCGGCGGATCTTGATGTCTTCGCGTGTTTTCTTCCGTGGTCGCTGCTGGCCACCGGCATGTTGGTGTTGCTGGTGACCTCATGGGACCAAAAACTATCACCTCACTAGCACTGGAAGCCTGGCAAGATGACAAGAACACAGCAGAATTGATCTATGCTCAGGCTGCTCAAATAATAACCTTTGCACTGGGAAGCAGGAACAGGTGTCATGGATTGTCATGGATTGTACACCATACTGCCATCATTCCCAGGCAAAGGGTTAACAAATTGCCAAGCGTCAGAAGCGACAGGCCCGTCCTTTATCACACCCCAACCGTGAGTTGTGGAACACGCAAGGGTTGCCTCGGTAGATGTCGAATTGGATGAACTTTTGCTGAAGTCTTTTGAGAAAATCACTCAGCGTATGGTCTTGAACGGACCCCATTTCCAATCAGAGGATTCACCACTCTTCTGCGGACAAGCGGAGTTGAAGTCCATTCGACAACTCTTGCACATGATGCCAATGATCATGTCATGTAGACTTCAAGAAAAACAGGGTCATTTTTGAAGTTGGCAACAACAAATCTGTATGTCATCCCAAAGTTGCACATACCCTACATCATTATCAACCATCATCAACCAACTGTTGGGGCAAAATCGGGCAGAGTAAGCACATTTTAGTAGCCAACCGTCAGACAAACCCAATCATTGCCCAGTCACAATTCCCCTGCTGGTGTAGTGTGCGTAAGGCTTGAGATTGCTGCTCATCCGAATCGGAGCTATTGGCTTGGAGGCCTTACGATCTTGTTGACCGATGAAAGTGATCCCTCAAAAGATACACAAAAGTCACTGCAAATTCCCATCAAAACGGTATAGTCTTGCTCTGTTCAAGATGTTTTCAAACTTTAAGGGGCTGTCTGGATCCCTTAGGGATCCCTAGACTGATACACCAGGCTCTTGGAAGCCACTCAAAATGTCGCTTAGAGATGGATTGGCCCTGCGCTGTCGAACTTTGTCTTTCTGAGTACACAAAAAAAAGGAACCCAAGGCATGAATCCGTATAAAATTGCATAACAATGCAATTACATACAATTGCAAGCACGGAATGAGGTCTCTCTTAATTCCTACAAGGGAAATAATCTATGCGCAAATTCCCACAAGGTGTGCTGCCCAGCGTCGTTGACCCTGCGACGAGGAAGCGTCCCTCAGATACGAAACAACACTCCGAAGCCCGAGGTAAATTCCGAATGGGGTTGAATGGGGTTGCAGGTGTCTCTCTGAACGTACTCGCCATCCGTTGAAGGTATATGATGGTATATGGCACCGAAAATTCAGGATGCATCTCAACGCCAAGTGACGCACCCGTCGTCGTCGTCACAGGCTTGGTGCCAGATCCAGAGCCTTTGTTTGAGTCAGAAGATGTTGACTTTTCATCAGCTCTCCACGCATCATTCACCCGACAGACCCATCTGCTTTCGCTGGAAGACTTCTCCTGGGTGCAGGGTAGGTTAGAATCCCACCTTTAAACGCTGGTTTCCTTGCTCCAACTGGCTGCAGTGCTGCAGTTTTAGGAGTACGTCATGGTCAGAATACTACAAAATCCCTCAAAGGTTCCCATCACACAAAGAAAACAGTCGGAAAAATACACTGACAGCGACACAGAAAAGCTTTGCTACTTGGATGATCAGTTCCTTTAGGTCCCCCATCAAGCTAAGATATCTAAGATGTGCGTTGGCATATCCCCTTTCAGTTGATCATCCAAGACATTTCTCAGGATTCGGAGGAGGATTTGGCGTCTTCGGCCCTGTGCGCTCCTTCCTGCGGAATTTGTCCCGGTCTTAAAAGGAACATCCGTGGTATCCACCTGGTATCCACCTGGTATCCACCTGGTATCCACCTGGTATCCACCTGGTATCCACCTGGTATCCACCTGGTATCCACCTGGTATCCGTGGTTGTAATTCGGTAAGGCACTAACTCCAAGAACTGAAACATCGAAACCACAGAAAACCACAGAATCTCGGGTACCCGAAACAACTTGGCGTCGAAATCTCACAACCCAGTCTTCTAAGACGGGCCTGGGGCTCTCCCTCTTGCCCTGCTTGGTTCACGAAAGGCATAAGCACTTCCCGTGATTCAATTTTTCTGTCCATCCGGCAGACGCATTTCGCCTGCTTCAGTTTTTCTGTCCATCTGAACCAATGTGCAGCGGTTTTCCAGCGGAACGTCGACTTGATAGTCATGGTCAACTGTCTGACACACTTCCACTCATTTAGAAGCTTAATGACTTCTGAAAAAAGGTTGAACTTGGACAGATCTAATTGGCCTGAAATCAATGCTGATTTCAGGCAGATTCCATATCATTCCTTGATCTAAGGATGCTTTCTAATTTCACTGAAAGATGGATTGTCCATGATTGTCCCCTTCCTGCACATGCCCAACCTTTTGTTGCGGTCCCTTGTTGCACCGCAAAAGCCTCATACACATTTTGATCGCTCATCCCTCCTCATTCTCCTTCTCCCACTCAGTGGATCTGACGTTTCTCTCCCAGGGTATGCGCCAAAATTGATCCTACAAAATTGACCCCCAAAATATGGCGTAACTGGCTGGGCATACCCCAATCGAAGGCTGCTTCCTTCCCACGGGACCAATAGACGTAGCCGTTAAAGGCGCCGGCGCACATCAGCCTGGGATCACTATGGATCACTGGGATCAGTCATGCTGTGCCGTGCCGTGCCGTTCCCACTGGGATCCTGGCACTCACTTTGAAAGTTAGCGCGCTGGAAAACATCGTTATGATACCAGGCCAGCATTACCAACATCGCCAACATCGCCAACATCCAGTTGCCAGCTATTTCAATGTATGGTGACCTCTGCCGCCATGTCCAAGTCCTTGTAGGACTTACATTTTTGGGTCCTGAGGAGCCCAACCAGAAGAAACTGTAGCTCAATGCCTTCTTGAAACCTGGCGAACTTAGGGTGGGATTCTGAAACAGAGATGAATGACTCAATGAAAAACCGCGTTGTTGTCCAATATTTCCCATGTTTTTGTGGTACATTTTTGTTGATCTCATGATCAGAATTTTTGCAGCTCATTTGTTACCCCTCTGCTGTGGCCAGGATTCGGATGGATTGAAGGCTCCTAGATTTGACTTTTGAAACAAAGGGAAGAAAGAACCTACCACCCACAAGATGGGTTTAACGATCTTCTGATTTACTAGGTGGATTTCCAATTGAAGCATGGTTTTGAACAACACTCTGAGCTGCAGCACTCATGTTGCCACCTGTGCGGACGAAATGGGAGATCTTAGGGACAGCGATCGATCCATCCAATGGGGCCATTTGTGAAAACTTGTGAGTGCACCTTTTTTTAAGGCGGAGCAGGGGTATTTCTGAAAAGAAACCGACATCTGAAGTGTCGCTCCGCGAGTCCGTAAAAACCCTTCACGAGAATAAGAAAAGGGGCGATGGGCAATGAGAACCTGGGCTGAGGCTCCCTACCATACTTCCCGAAGAGGAGCAAATTATCGACGCAGACCAGAACCTGGGCAAAGATATCAAGACCTGATTGGTCAGAAATTACGCTTTGGACTTGGGTCCACAGGATATCTTAATCTTGTAGGGATTTGTATGGAATAAGTATCCTTTGAAACTCATCTCACAAGTCACAACCCACCTGTACTATCCTGTACTGCTCCTCTCCAAACTTCTGCTTTGCAATGCGTTGCACTCGTCAGAGTCAATACGTTGCGTGGCACACAACATTACACAACTATGGTGTTGTGTTGTACCGGAGCAACAATACTTTTGGTACCTTTTGGTTTGGTTTTTCAAGATTGTCAATCCAGTTGTGCTACACGACAGTTGAGAATTCAATTGTCCACGACAAGTGTTTGATAGTGGCATCACATTGGTACAGTCAACTTCTTACACTGTGGCTTCTGCATGTGGTTGGGGCAAACCTTGATGCCAAGAGACGACGAAGATCACGGCAAAGACCATCCAGTCAAACCAATCCTGAAGAGCTGAAATCGAGAACTGCTGGGCACCTTCAAGTGACCTTGAAAGGACTCGGGCGATTTCGGAGGAACAAGTTATAAACTTTCTGGACATTTCATGACTTTTTGGATGAGTTTTTGGATTTTTTGGATTAGTTTTTGGATTAGTCTAAAAAACCATGGATTAGTCCAAAAAACCATTAGTATTTCCCACTGGATTTTCACAGTCTCGTCATCACACCATGAAACCAGTGATCCCACAGATCTGAGGGGCACTGGCAATTTCCGTCCCCTTTTTGCAACATGCCAAAAACTGCTTCCGTTCCCGGGAAAATTGACCTGTGATTCGTGGATTTTGATGGTTTTTGAGTTTTTGATGGAATTTTCATGGATGCTATGGATGCTTTTTGTGAAAAAGTCTGCTTCCACCCTCGCCTGGTAGCGGAAGAGTGTGACCGGTTCCGCCTTGGGCCTCAGAATCTGATGGATCATGCTGGGTATGAAATCCCTGTTGGATGGTTGTAGATGATAAAATGATGATAACATGTATCAAAATCATCACGAGCACCAGTAAAGCATCATCCTCTGATCATAGATGCCAATTTTTTTCATCAATTTCCTGAGACTCACCTTCTCAAAGCCTCATGGGCTTCATGGATGTTACCTGGAGAATATTCACTGGTCTGCAGGCTGTACCTTGAGGATTTGAAGTACAGAATTCAACTTCAGAGTTTTCGGGGTTTCATCCCACGACTTTCTAGTCGATTGCGCGCTTGCGGGCATCTTTTTGCACGCTAAGCATGGGCAAAGCACGTTGCGTGACCTGCCAAGAACAGGATGAGCAATCCGACCCAAATCGGTTTCTCCAAAACGAAAAAGGAGGATCAATTTGTCAATGAGGATCGTATAGTTCACCTGAGACAAAGGATCATGGGTCATCATGGATCCATCTTTCACTTCGGGATTGATCAGCTACGTGCCTTTCGTCTCACTATTTCGAAATCGCAAAGGACGCCGTAATGGTCCTGCAGAGAAAAATCTGGATGTGGTATCTTTGGGTATCTCTCAATCATCCTTGCTGGTCTTATTTTGGTGCCTGCGTCAAATCTTTGTACTCAATTGGCATGTCTAGGCACCAGGATGCAGATTTTCGTTTGGATAGAAGATACAAAGGAGACTCATTCACCAGGTCTCTCAATGGTCCTGACCGCCACCCAACAATCCAAGTGATTCTCACTATTTGTATGGCTCAAAATCTATTTTTGGCCATTGAAACTGGCTACAGATTCACCAGCATTTTCAAATGTGAATCCGTGACTCCCATGAGAGCCCCACTGAAGGGCAACGACTCATGGGCAATGGTATTTCTCCGAAGGCCACGGGAATCAAGGGAGGCCTGGGACGGGACAGCATCGGCAAATAAGCAGCGCACGGTTCCACGGTTTTTTTTTCACCCAGGTCCTAGAAGAAATGGGTAGAAAGTATCTACTAAATGGATCTAAATGGCATGCATCCAAGGATCATTTCCGGATCCGTGTCGCTGTCGCCGCCTCAGCTATGATATTGGGATGTAATGGGAGCAATGGGAGGATAGCAAATGATATATACCACATCTGAAAACGGAGTTTCATGGCAAACAACATGGCAATTTAGGGAGAATAATGGAGAATAAACATACATATTCAGAGATACCATATTTTCAAAAATACATACCTCGTGGCTTGAACATATTGCCCTTGTATAACTCTCTTGAATTCACCAGCTTCAAACGGCACCGCAGGCTAACATCAGTTGGTGCCAATCGAGTCCTGCTAGTGCATCCCCTGGATCTTCAAAGCAACCATGGTTGTTGCCTGCCAGACCTGCCAGATTAACCTCAGGAATGGGGGTAATGGGGGTCTTATCACCAAGTGCTGATCGTTTGTAGTTTGGTATGGTAGGTTTCATAGGATATTCCTTGTTGGTGACTCAGAAATCTACCCCGAAATATGGGAAAGAACACATATCGTGCAAGAAGTAGTGATAGCTCGCTCAGCTAAGTTTAACGAAGAACTTGGGAGATTTCATGAAACATCTCCATATTCCTTGTGGTTTCCTTGTGGTTTCCTTGTGGTATCATGTAATATCTGCAAGATTCTGCAAGATCCGTAGGAATAGCCATTTCAGGTTCAAAAAAAGTGCCCCAAAACTCGGAGAACTCCGTGGGGCGCGCCCCGTGGCGCCTTCAGCTCCACCTTCGTCCAATGGCTCCGTGCCCAATAAGCGCGGAGCAGAGGGAACCAGGCGCCAGACAGCTGGCCGGTGATGAAAGTCGAAAGTCTCTCAACTGAGCCACCTAAAAAAAGCAAAACATTTTGTAAGTGTGCCTAGGAATTCCCATGAATCATGAAACATCACGGAACATCATGAGACATCATGTGGATATGTTCAACTTGCTTAAACTAGACGGATACCTTGCCTCCAGCACTCTCATGGGTGTAGATCCGGTCCAAGCGGCACGCTTTGCCGTCGAAATCGTTGCGAGGCATGGTATCTGGGGACAAGATGGCCGGGGTTCTAGATGTGCCGCACAGAGCGTCAAGCAGTGGATTTTGTCTCGAAATGTGGACACACCACCAAGTCATTTCACGTATGTATCAGTTATCAAACTGAATTTCCACTGTTGACAAAATGTATAGCAAAATGGCCACTTCCAGGCTACATGCTTTGTATTTGGGACTATCTGAATAGCATTGCAAAATATTGCAAACATGCGAAACACACATTGCTTTTCATTTTCTGCCAGGCAACGTCCCGAAGAAGCTGTGCAGTCGTGGTAGTCTGCCTCGATTGCCCAGTGGGTTGACTCATCACTGGAGCTGCCATCAATCTGTCGTTTAGCGAATCGTTTCGTCGTCACCAGCACTTCTGTTCGGATCAATGCCACACCAACCATCATATCTCAAAATCATTAATTAAATCTCTCTACTTTCTTGTGGGTAAAAACCATGGTTCTACCAGCCATTTTTACCGTAAAAATTGATTTTTACCAGTTTACCATTGATTTACTATAGTAAATTGTCATTTTTGCTGTGGTTTACGATGTTTCATCGCTGCGAATCTCCGATGGAGGCGCTTCGCCTGACGCAGCTCCACTTCCTCCACAGCGAAGTCGCCAAAGTTCCTGGTGTGCGTTGAGGTGGACCCGATGGGTATGTTCTGCACACCCCCATATATATATATGTATATATACACAATATATCTTTAGGATGGGTATTATGATCTGTTTCTACTTATACATCTATATACACATACATATACGTATTTTGATGATATGATTATATACTTCCAACGCCCGTATAATGATGAGGCCAAACAATTCCTTGGATTTTCATGGGTATTGAAGTAATGATGGTATATGAAAATGTATGGTGTTCAACTGGAGATCTCAAAACAACACAATCGAGATTTTAGGATTGAATGTTTCAATGGTGTTGAAATGAAATCACAGTTTTGATGGCGGTTGTTTTAGGATGGCTTTTGTTTGTAATCTTCGCGAAACTAAAGGATATTAAGGACAGGATATTGAGGAAATGCAGATGGATACATCACCGACCAAGTGGGAATGTTCAGGTACATATTACCAATTCCATAGAAATTGGGATTTCACGAAAAACAGTAGGATGTCGTGAGAAAAGCATGATCCTATGGCTAGCATGCAGTTCTCTCTTCATGGGAAATGACGTGTTGTTGCATGTTTCGAAAGGGGAAGTGCTGACCGAAGCAGCAACAAAACGAGAGGTGTCAACCTCAGCAGCACTTCTGGGCGAGAGTCATATCCCCGGCCAAGATCACATGGCTTGTGGGAGCATCCAAATATCGAAGGATCTGCCTTCAACTTGCAGTGAAAGACATGAGGAGTTGAGACAGCTCCGGAAAACTTCAAAATCAAGATCAGCGCCACAAGAACGACCCGAAATGATCTGGACAAACATGGACAAACTGTTTGTGCAAACTGTGCAAACGAAGTTTGTGCAAAGATGCCGCACCTCAGTTGTTCCCGGCGAAGATCTTGACAATTCGACTCTAAATGCCTTGGCAGGTCATGACCATAACATACCATAACTGCTGGTGGGTCAATCTGTGAATAAACCAGGAACCCCAAAAAACAAACCAATCAGCCCAAATTCCCACACAATTTGCAGAAAAACCTCAAGGTAATAAGGTAGAATCCCCCCGACCATTTGCAATCCTGGGAGAGTCAAACACTTCTGTTGATAATCCCTTTGAACATCTTTGCAGCGGGACTTAGCATCAATCAAGGTCACAAAAAGCAGATGATTTCTCAAGAATCCGAAACTTGAGGTGGCAAAAAATACCTAAACGCAACATTAGCTGATCTGAAGGTTGGGAAGCTTTGTCACCCGCGCGTGAAGGAAACTCCATCCATGTTCAAAAACACAAGAGTTGAATAACTCGTGAACCTTTGATATTGCCATATATGACCATATGACTTTTCATGACTTTTCTACATTTTCAGACCCCTCACGTGAGGTGTCCTCATGTGAGGTGGTGCCCAAATTCCTATCTCCGAAGGGCAAGCTTTTTACTACTTGAGGATATCATAATGTCATCAACAACTTCTTTGATTTTCACTGGGCGAACCCTCAAGAACCCAAGGTACACTGTTGCCACCAACAGTTCCACATCCTCCATGGGAAGCTTTGCCACCAACAGTGACCTGTTACCAGGAGTGGACCCGCTCCAAAATGGGACCTGTTAGGTCAAACAGCTCACCCAGAAAGGCGATTTCATTCTGATTCACCGATATCCATTGGAATCATCCTCTCGTTTTGCCCAACAAACATCTCAATGAAAGTAGCAACATCCGCCAACCAAGCAGCTATGATATCACATCTTCCAACATTTTCCCCGATTTCCAGTGGTTCAGGTTCAAGCGTTCAATTTTTAATCGCCAACCTTTCCCCACAAGAAACCAAGTGCCGAAAATCAATCAAACATCCGAATGAATTCACCGAACTCAGCAGTTTAAAGGATCGATGATATCAAGTCAATATCAGGTTCTTTAGTTTTCCTATCCCATCTTCTTCCCAGCATTTTTCCAACATTTTCCCAGGGAAGATGCCTGCACATGCGTGAGGGAAGCTGCCACAACTGGAGCTCAGTGGCGTGCAGGGTGCGCTTCAGCAGCAGCAGCACGCCATAGGCCAACTCCGAACCTCCCGAAAAAAGGTTGCCTTCTTCAGTAGATGAACCATGATGTTGAATTAGGGCTGAATTAGAACCAAAGATGACGAGTTGGTTTCAGCAGCAAAGCCCATGATGTTGGTTTCAGCAACATATCGAAACTATGATGTTGGAACCCAAGTGATAGGGATGAAACATGATGAAACCCAACAGTTCGAGAACATCTAAGTTGCACAAGTGGAGGTTTGCACCAAACATCATATGGAACTGGTTTTTTAATCCAGGTTGTCCAACGTCAAACTCGCTTGGTGAAACCATGTTTTACGTCTAGTGATTTATGGCGGTGTAAAGGTTGGAAGATCACCGACAATATTTGAGATGGGCATTCAGCTAGCAGTTCCCATGTCTTTCCACCCAGGTGGCCCAGATGTAGCGTTTTGAGCTTGTGGGTTCCTGATGTACAAGCAATCAAGAAACCTTGCCAGACTTGTCAATCAGACTTTCCAACACGTGAAATGACAGTTCTGGCTCTTCTCATATCCAGCGTTTTGTTCCTTCTGCAATCCTTGTTTACGAAATCTCCGAGAACTGCAACAGAGGACGTCAAGTGCCAACCAGAATTGTATGAGTCTGCCCTGAAATTTCGACATTGTGACAATTTAAGTACAAAAAGTGACCAAAAATTCTTTAAAACCAAACATCCTCAACAGACCCTTCTATTTCCCAAATCTAACCGTCACCTTGTAAAGTGGTGCCGAGCACATCGGACAGCACGTAGCCCTCTTGAACGAAGGGCTCCTCTAGCCATCCAACTGAAAACTATCAGCGCGGGTCTTGGGATTCCCCACGTGTCGGAGTAGAGGCGCTGAACAGGTAGCGCGTTGGTGGCTTCAAACAATCTCAACATATTCCATGATAAACTGGAATCATCATCCCATTTATCACAGCTGGAAAACACAACAAAACACAACCACAATAATAAAGCTATGAATTGGCTACTCACCAAATAGGATCCAAATGTACCACCAGAGTCATGATTTGCTACTTGCTAATGTTATGTAGTGTTCTCAGTACGGGTACGGGTAGATCATGTCATCCTTTTCCCACGATTTTGTCCCCCATTGGTTGCAAAGCATCACCCTGACTCCTGCCGTAGCCAGGTCAGAAAGCAGGGCGTCACCTATCGTTTGAACCAAAAAAAACATCCACCGTGAGAACCCGGCACATGGCATTCATGGCATTGGAAAATCCCTCATAGATTCTGGCACGTTTTCTTAGAGAAACCATTGGAATTTCAGATTGTCAGGTTGTAAAAAACACAGGAGATCCTATCAGTAGCAATCATGGGAACTAAGAACCTGCGATCATGAAGTGATGAAGACATCTGTATCTCAACACAACATGTTCTTGGCGTCTTCCGAAGCTTCAAACTCTGGAGAGAAAGTACTCCGTGGCATGATCATACTCGGAAGCAAAAATCCACGACGCTGATGGAACAGGGCTGAAAAGTTGACACCCAAATTCCAGCCATGTGGCAGTGTGTCAAAACCAAAACCTTGTACCCCTTTTTTGTTCACATCAAAATAGCTGGGATTTATGGATGTAAATGGATGTTCATCCCACTAAATAGCTGGTCTTTTTATAGGTATTGATCCATTGATCCATAGCCATGTTTGTCTACTTTCATCATCGTGAAGTTCCCGGCTCCGTGCCAGAGCTGCCATGGGGGCGTCCCAAAATCTCTAAAAGTTGATGATCACCATGTCAAAAAAGCCAGAAATTGGGGCTATCCATGGCTAATCCCAATTTTTTAACATAGTGAAAACACATATCTGATCCTAGCGGTGCACCTCTTGCAAGCAGATGATGTCCGCATCCGCATCCTCCAAGATGGCGAAGAGCGCCTTTGCCCCTGCGATGAACCGTTGAACCGTGCACCACGTTGAACAAATCCGTTGATCGACAGCGAAACGACAGCGATTTCGGTGCCAAATCTTGGTGGGACATTTCTGGGACACCCAAGCGATGACCCAAGCGATGACAGCGATCGCCATGGCACGTTCTTTTTGTCGGAAGTCGCCTGAGAGCGTGGCGCATGATGCACGGCACTTGGAGAAGCGAATCCGTAGGTGCTAAAGTGCTAAACGTCATACCGAAGTGATTCCTCCAACTTCAACCTTTGGAGGGTCATCTGGTCATCTCCAATGGAGGTTTGCAAGTCAACTTGGGTGATTCCCGAGAGAACACCCACTTGCTGACCACTAAGTGGGATCCTCAATCTTCGGGCGAATGGAAGCCATCGCTGACAGGTTAATCCCAAGGATGGCATCCACTGATCGAATGCTTAGTAATTCGCATCTCTGGTGTATCCGTGATGGACCACCAAGGTGCTGTTCCTGATCTCACTTGGTGACCCATACCACAAATAAAATCCCTCCAGACACAATTGTCAAGTGTTGAAGCTCTTCATTTTATTAACCCCACACATGGTTTTCTTTTTATTTAGGAGCTAATGTGGTAAACCCAACAACAGACCTCCAAGTGTGAATGGTTTGTGCAACTAACCCATTTTATATTGGGTTACCAACCACATCAAACATCCCCATTTCAAACACACCAAACCGATGACATCCCTAAACCTGCGGCCGCTTCTTTCCGACTTCTATCCCCGTCCACTCTTCAATCAACGACCCCATTGGATTTCCATCATATCACTGTTGGTGAAGTTACCATTTTTCATGGTTAGTATCATCATTATACGGTATAGCATCATTCTTGTTGGATAAGTATGGTTAAGTCACCATATTAAATTATCCTTATTTTTCATGATCAGTAAGCAAAAATAGCCATCCATCCTCATCCCGTCGGTCCCAGCTGCTGAACCACACGTTGTAGGTCAATACTCTCAGCAGCGCCGTGGCGCCGTTCAGCGCAGCGGCCGCGTCTGAGACCTTTTTAGGGGGTCTCAATGGGGGTGTTTCACCCTGGGTAAAATGTGGATGTCAACGAAGCAAACCTGCAGGTCTATATGGTGATGGATTTTTAAGGGAACCATATAGGGATTTCAATGATTTCAATGAGAATATTAGGGGAAGAATGGGTGGATTGTTGATTTCAACTAAGTAAAGCAGAAATGGGGGCTTCGCAAGAAAGAATAGAATTTCATCATTGGGATACCAGGTGATGAATGGGCGATCAAACAGCATAGAGTATGGATCTACAAATTCAAGCCCTGCACCTCTATGCTTCAGAACATGCATCTGCTCGTGGTAAGTCCGTCAGGTTGGAGATCATGGTGACCCATAGCCACACGGCTATGGTACATTTGGTGTCACCAACTCATACGCCACAGGGTTGGGATGTTCCATTCGAATTTTTAAATGGTAAAACAGCTGCCATTTTTACCACCCATTTTCCTGGGAATGGGAATGGAACCACATTTTTGAAAATGGTGATGACTGGGGGATAATTTATTATTGTTTTAACACAGTTCTATTATTCTATTATAGTTTTTTACGTTTCTTCTAGTTCTGGTTGGTGGTTCAATCCCTCTGAAAAATAATATGGACTTCGTCAGTTGGGATGAAATGACATTCCCAACTGTTTCTGGAAAGTCATACAAGCCATGTTCCAAACCACCAACCAGTTATTACCCTCTGGTAAACATACAAAAAAACTATGGAACATCACCATCTTTAATGGGTAAATCAACTATTTCGACTGGGCCATTTTCAAGTTCGCAAACTGTAAACGTTTACCAGAGGGTATATCCCATTAATATCTCATTGAATCACTATAAGATACCATGAAATCACTATAAATCCCATTAAATCACCAACACCTGGATTTTTGAAAACGTCCAACACCTGGAATTTGGGATGCCGGGCCTCATATGCCACCCAGCGCTGTCCATCGAAGACTTTCCCCGCGAGGCGCGAAAGGCCCAGGGCCTTTGGGAAAATCCATTGAGAAAGTCGTGTCAACATCCATGGAAAAATCCTAACATATCTACCATCTGGTTATGACTGACATAGCCATGGAAAGATCCACCATTTTTAAGTTCGGTAAACCATCTATTTCTATGGGCCATTTTCCATGGCTATGTTAAATAACCATAGGGTAACATATCTAATATCCATGGCAAATCGTTTTTTTGGGGGGGCCATAGACACCCAATAAATTTCTTCTGTCAAGAAAAGAAACCTCTGTAAATGTTTCTCAAAGCAGTGGGATACTTCTTGGTATAGGTCCGTGCTTCAAATGAAGTGCACCTTCTGGATAAGCCAATTTCACGAGGTATGGGGCCAACTACGCAGAAGCTGTCATGCGGCCCACAGATTGGATTGCGACGGTTGCACGTAGGTAATTGATATCCCAACTATTGCCATCGTACAATATTGGTGCCTCCTGGTGCCTCGAGTGTGATTTTCTGTCTACTCTGCCCGTGGTGCACTTCAGTGAGCTCTGAAACCATCATGGTGACATTAATGACATATAATGACATGAAGAAGGGAAAACATCAAGAAAATCTATCAAAGACAAACATGAATCTATCAAATCATGGCATTTCACACAAAAAAACACCTGGGCAAATGATGCTTCCCAGGAAATACCATCATCTCCAGGGGTTGGCCAGTAATGTTGCCAGATTTTGCCAAGAAATATGGCCAAATTCTGAATCGATCTCCTGCAAAAAATGAGGTGCTTAGGATCGATCTTCCCCTCACAATGAAAAAAACAATCGTAAAGTACCCAGCCAGTTGGTTTACCCATCATAAAATAATGTTTACCCATAAAATATGGCCAGTTCCTCCACTTTGTCGCGGGAAAGGCGGCCTGGTCTTGCATGTACTGCGGCGGCGCTTCTTGACCCACCACCTGGACCGGTGAAGTCGAGCTACGAATGACGAAGTCAGTTCGGTACTCTAAATGGACAAAGCAGAGATTTATGAACTCTCATGATAGATTTATGATAGATTTATGATCGAAGGAAGTTTAGAAGTCAAACTTCCGACAATATGGAGAGATGAAAAGCAGAGCAGGGCAGAGGCACAGAGAAGAGGAAGATTAGAAGAGAGAAGATCAGAAGAGAAAGAGTAAGAGGACAGAAGATACAGATGCGCGAAAAGGTAGGAAAGTCGCGAAACACTGTGTTTTTCCAATGATTTGTGGCTCCGGAGGGTCGAAAAGTAGGCTCGCTAAAGCGGCGGGTGCGGAGCCAGCTGGCCACAGGAGCGATGAAAAATTGCACGCCGTTGTGGCGCGAAGCACATTTCGAAGTCAAAATGTATAAAACACACCATTCTCGGACCACTTTTGGAAGTTGCGATGTCGAAAAAGTGCACGCCGTTGTGGCGCGAAGCACATTTCCAAGTCAAAATGTACAAAGCACACCAGGTTCGGACCACTTTTGGAAGTTGAGATGTCGAAAAAGTGCACGCCGTTGTGGCGCGAAGCACATTTCCAAGTCAAAATGTACAAAACACACCATTTCGGACCACTTTTGGAAGTTGAGATGTCGAAAAAGTGCACGCCGTTGTTGCGCGAAGCACATTTCGAAGTCAAAATGTACAAAACACACCAGGTTCGGACCACTTTTGGAAGTTGAGATGTCGAAAAAGTGAAAGCCGTTGTGGCGCGAAGCACATTTCCAAGTCAAAATGTACAAAACACACCAGGTTCGGACCACTTTTGGAAGTTGAGATGTTGAAAATTTCCACGCCGTTGTGGCGCGAAGCACATTTTGAAGTCAAAATGTACAAAACACACCATGCTCAGACCACTTTTGGAAGTTGAGATGTCGAAAAAGTGCACGCCGTTGTGGCGCGAAGCACATTTCCAAGTCAAAATGTACAAAACACACCATTGTCGGACCACTTTTGGAAGTTGAGATGTCGAAAAAGTGCACGCCGTTGTGGCGCGAAGCAGATTTCCAAGTCAAAAGTGTTAAAAACTGATGGTCTCGGACCACTTTTGGAGGTTCAGATGTCGAAAAAGTGTCAAAAAAGTGCACGCCGTTGTGGCACGAAGCACATTCTGAAGTCAAAAGTCTAAAAAACTGAGGGTTTTGAGCCTTTTTTGACGTGAAGATGTCGAAAAAGTAGACACTGATTAACTTAACTAACTTGACTAACTTAACTAACTTCACTAACTTAACTACCCTAACCTCGACGACAACAGCAACAGCAACAGCAACAACAACAACAACAGCAGCAGCAACAACAACAACAACAACAACAAGGTACAAACAGTATTCGAGCTTATTCTAAGGGCCCCAGTCTTTGTTTGTACCAACAACAACAACAACAAGAACAAGAACAAGAACAAGCTGCCCGGGTGGATGCTGCTCGGTGGCGCGCCAACCCATCTGATGCCTCGCAGCTGCCGGATGTGCCTGCGTGGCAGAGATGGCAGTGACCTCTCGTGTGGCTTTTCTGCCCGCGTTGTTACCGTCGGGGAAAACGGGACACATGCAGCGATGCGCACCGCGGGACTGCTGACGGCACGCAGCGCTTCTGACCGCAGCGGCCACGACACATGCCAGCGTGTATGTCTTTTCTGACTGCACAATGATGCACTGGAGCATTTGTACTTCATTGCAAGCCCGGCCGAAGATTTTGCCCGTTGCTGCTTGGAAAAAAACACACTGCGGCGACTCCGTGAGGGAGACGCGTCAGAGGGATGTGCTAGATTTCGTCATGTGTTTGTAGTCTGTTGTGTTAACATGGTAGGAGTTGTTGAAGTTTCAATTTAGGAATACGAGGCTCGTATCAGTACACGGTAGATGGATGGAGTCGGATGGATGGATGGATGGAGTCGGATGGATGGATGGATGGATGGATGAATGGATGGATCGATAGATAGATAGAGAGAGAGAGAGATAGATAGATAGATAGATAGATAGATAGATAGATAGATAGATAGGATTAGTTAGATAGATAGATAGATAGATAGATAGATAGATAGATTAGATAGATAGATACATAGATAGCTATTCAGAGAAAGAGAGAGAAAGAGAGGAGACCTCAAGCACCTTTCGGTCCATCAGTGGCTTCGCTCTGCCATCCCTGATTCACAACAGCCAATCTCTCCTATAGGTTTCTGATAGATTTATGATAGATTTATGAAGTCTCATGAAGTCTTTTCTGGGATAGTTTTGGATCACTAAAAAATGATGTGACCGAGATGCGGTTCTGCAACTGTCCCCAGAATCGGCTCCCCCCAGTTGCTCTGAAAATAACCCCAAACTCTGGTGTTGATCATCACCCCAGTAAGGTTGGGCATTTAAGAAGTATCCCTATTTTTTGGAGAAACCCAAATATCAGATTGTTGGTTGTATGTACCAAATTCTTTCCCGTTATATACCTTTTAAACTCTTTGGTTTCATTAACCCATTTCGGTTGGTTGAATCATTCAATCTATGTATTGGCCGTATATCAAATAAAAAACCATTACTGTAATATCCATTCACATGATCAGTAATGGTTTATGGAATGTTTATGGTGTAATATGAATGGCTGATAAACCGTTACTGTATATTCACATCTGGTTTTTATCAGCCCTTTTTTCGCCTCTTGCTCAATGCCATCGGCTGACCGCTTCTCCTTCAGTACTTGACCATCACGTTGCCTCTGGAGGGGTGGACCAGTCTGACGTATAAAATCCACCGTTGGAACATGAATCCCATGAAAAAATGTGAACAACATCCCTTTTCATGGTCCCAACCATGCCAAAATCCTCTGTGAATCTGCTAAAAAAAAGGTTTCTTGGGGTCAAGATTAGGATGGGATTATCGGATCTATCACCAGCAAGGGAAGATTTAAAGGGGATCTAACCAAAAAAGGTGACGGATAGCCCCGGATAGCCAATTAAATTGGATATGGGGATGATTTTCGAGACAATTTTCGAGGAAACAGCCTGCAATCTGCAATAGTTGATTACCCATCTCCAGGTTGAACCACCTCAGGCGCTTGGAATGGACATCTGATGGTGCAGTTGTGTGCCATTTCCCATCTCCCGTAAAAAATCTCACCAAAAAGGCGCCATTTTTATCCATCTCCATGGTTTTTGATCGGTTGAACACCCATCAGAACATCCTGCCCCAAGACGGCACCTCAACTTGGTTTCGGTTGGCCGCAGCTTGACCCCTTTGAGTTCTTCCATCAATGGCCTCTCGCAGTGATCCTAACTTCACAGATCCCATGACATGCCAAACTGCAATGCACTGATAGGCTCGGGCTAATGAAAAAGGTAACATTCCGAAATATTCCGAACATGGCCCATCTCCATCTCAACTCTTCCGAGTTTCCAATCAAGCCTTGATACAGGACATGTTAACCTTCTCAGTGAGGACTTCTCGTTGAGAAACGGAGCCCTTAAAATCAGGTTGCACCATCGGCAAACCATTCAGGGACTGGAATCCGTAGATCTTTCAATTCTTTCAGTACGAAGCAGTTTGAGGCACGATCCAAGGCTAAATGTACTCCGCCTCCAATCCAATCGCTGTTTTCGACAGATGCGGCTTACGCACATCAAGCTTCGAATTATCTGCGGGTGGTTGTCTGGGTCAGTTCATCCGGAAGGGTTAAAACATGTTAAAACCGCAAGGCAAACACATCCTCAGAATTCCTGAGAAACTCAATCCCTTTGGTCCCTTCCTGATCTGTGCGGACCCAAGCCACAAATAACATAAGAATAAGTGCATCTGTACACTCTTTGTGAGTCTTTGGAAGCCGTGGCTTCACATCAAAACACATGATCACTTTGGTGCTCCTTTCTTGTGCTTCCTGCAAGGGGAGCTCTCCAAAGCGACTGAAAGTTCTCTATGCAAAGTTTCCAACCGCAGAGTCGAAGGTCTTTACAATCGGTTGGGACAAAAGACGGTTGTAAACCAATCACTTCTTTGCTGCAACTAGACCACACCTGCATTGCAATATATTGCAATCACATGTGTCTGCTGGATGTCTGGAGGAGTGGAGACTTCTCTAACATGACGCAAACGGCATTTCTGTGTCCAACGGCATGTTTTATTGGCCTAAAACACATCATCGGTTCAGGGATGTAAAGTGGGTTTCACTGAGCAGTTTTCGGGGAACTGGAGGTCCAATTTGTCCCGCAACGCACGGAACTATTTGACAAACAATGAATGACTGGCCAGTGGATGGGCACTTTCCCAGTTCGTTTGGAGACAGTGCACACACATACATCATCTACACCATCTACATCTACATACCAATTCAGACATCTAGAATCATCTAGACGTGTCCAGGTTGTAATTGATGATGATGATGATGATGAAATTCCAAGGTGATTTCACGGCGCCTTCAAAGCCGTGCTCGTTTTCCAGGCGACGTGGGCCACGGGCACCAGGGCAATACTGACAGGTGGCCTTGAAAGCTGGGATTCTGTCATGGTGAGCCTTGAATTTCTTGAATTTTGTAACTCTCTGTAACTCCCAAAGATAGAAAAAGGTCAAATTCGTCACTTTAAGATTGGGTTTTACCTTCCAATCTTTTTGCGGGGCGCTAAGAACGCCGATTTGGAGCAGGAAATTCCGTATCAACCTCCATGAACACGGCAAACGTTAAGACCTGACACACCGGGGTGTGGTGACCTCAAATCTATGAGAACAGTGCCACTATTTTTGGGGGTCAACCATTAAGAAATACCATCCATATCTGGGAGAGCACCCCAACAAACCCTGACTGATGGTGGTTGCAAATATTCGCTTCGTCTGAACATAGGGTAATCTAAAATCCCACGGCTTCGTACAACAAGGCCCAAAAAGATGCCGAAACATCGGTTTTTAGGATGTAACAAAGATTATGTTTCCTGCAATTTTCAAGCCAACTTTTCGATCCTTTTCGGAGTTGCTATAGTTGGCCCACCTGCATGACGCACAGGCAGGTGCCGCAATCCACCTGGCTGGAAGCAGCTTGATCCACTTTGGGTCACGTCACAAGACCATCAAACTAAACTACCAACCAAAGGCCTAAGGTACAAGTTAATTGTGGATAATTATGGAATCTATTGATCATGGATGATCATAGTTTGTTCTATCAGGGGTTGCATCTCAACTTCTGCCATCCGAGCCGCATATCCTCGTGGGCACCCTGGAATTCTCGAGGGTCGGCTCTGGATGGGTCCCGTGGGGACTGGTGTTGGTGCCGGGATTGGCATGGTGGACCCTGGGCACCACTGGCAAGTGGTTTCTGGCACGCAAAGACCTGAGGATTGGCTCCCTCCGAAAAACATGGAAACCACAGGGGTTTCATATGTTTCATGGTTTGGAGCCTGAAAGATCTGAAAGGACTGAATCAAATTGAATCAAGAGTTATTGAAACGAAGACAAATAAACAGAGCAAAAAATCATTTCGATCCTACCAAAGTGAAAATCAAAGTCTAAGTGCAGCCAGGTGGACATGTGCCGCAGTCCTTGTAGCTCGCCGGGCATCCCGGCACCGTAGATGGTCGGCTTTGGATGGGACTGGGTGCGGGCACTGGGGTTGGGCTTGGGGCTGGCAGGGCTGGGGCGGGTGCCGTGGCACCAGGACACCATCGGCAGGTGGTTTGAGGAACGCACAGACAGGTGCCGCAGTCCACATAGCTGGCTGGGCAGCCAGGGACGGTGGATGGTCGGCTGTTGATGGGTGCTGGTGCTGGTGCCGGGGAGGGACGGGAAGGACGGGAAGGGGAATAAGCACCTGGGCACCATTGGCAAGACGTGAGGGGCACACACAGGCAGGTGCCGCAATCGACCTCAATTGGACTTTCAGCAGAAAGGCAACTTTTCCCGGCCCCATGATTCCAAAGTCTGAATCCCTTGGAAAAAAACACAAAAGCTCAGAAATCAAGTCATCCTTTAACCCTTCGGCACAGCATCAAATTCTATGCAAATCAGTGGCATAGCTTGCAGGGCAACCGATTACCACCGATGGTCTGCTGTTGATGTGTCCAAGCGATGGTCGCGGAGGAGCAGGCAAGGCAGGGCCAGGATGCACTGGCGTGGAGGAATAAGCTCCTGCAGCATTTTCGCATATCAATTACATGTCGTTTTGGCGGGAATGCCCTTACATTCTTCATATACAGTCTTGGAACTGAAATGGCTGAACATTGGTTGAACATTGGTACCAGATGGTATCAGTATCATGCAATCGCAACTCCTGGGCACCACTGGCAGGTAGCATATGGAACACAAAGGCACGTGCCACAGTCAACGTAACTGGCAGGGCAGTACGGCACCTCAGACATCACATGACATCACTTATACACTTCCCCAAGTCAAATCAAGATAGATCCTCTTTGAATATGCAACAGGAGAATTCCATCATGACTTTCAGTTTTTCCATGAACTTTTACCGCATTCGATCATCTCATGGCAGCATTTCGAACAACTTCGGCCAAGGGCACCGTGGAGGGTCGCGCCACGATCTCCGGGGTGGGCCGCGGGGTGCTGGACCCACCGGAGCCACCGGACCAAGCGCCGGGGCAGTACTGACACGAGGACTGCGGGACGCAAAGGCAGGTGCCGCAATCCACCTGCCGTGCCATAGCAACAAGGGGAGGTGATTTGGAACCTCAGCAACCAAGAAATGATGACTTTATAAATTGGGTCAATATTTTTTTCAACAAAATTGAACTTGGGACTGTGGATGATCTTTGAGAATGGATGTCGCGATGTCGAATCAACGCTTTCTTTGGAGCACAGATCCCTGATCTGGGAGGATGGATTGATTTTTTCCCAGCAAAATGATATTGAATGTATTGATCCTTCAACATGACATTGGGCGGTTACTATGATCTCTGTCGGAAAGGGCTTGCAAATTCCTTTCCGCGTTGAAATTGGATCCGGATTCAAGGGAATGTACGTTGCATCTGTGCCAATCCAGCTAACCGCTTGGAAGTGGATTGAAAATACAAAATAGTCCTAGAATAGCTGGACTTTCCTGAATCCATGCGATGGGTCAAAAATGGTCAAAATGGGTCACCCATTTTGGATCTTGACCCCGTGGGATTTCCTCATCCCTGAGATCCCTGAGATCCCTGAGATTTGAACTTCGCCCAGCCACATAGCTTGCTGGGCAGTATGGCACCGACGAAGGCTTGGAGACGATCTGTCCCTCGTCGGTTGGGTTGGTCCATGCTCCCGGGCACAAGATACATGTCTCTTGCGCTACGCAGAGGCAGGTGCCGCAGTCCACATAGCCTGCGGCCAACTCGCCCATGAACATATTGGCATGTGATAATCGTTTCAGGACTTCTCGAACATTCTCAGTTTGATGCTACCTTTGAGTTGGGAAACCGATAGGTTATGACAATACTCAAGTCTTGGACACTCGCAGATGATGAAAGAGGCCAAACATTTCAGGATGCCCAGACTTCTTAAGCGATATCCTCATCTTCATGGACTAACATCCAGATGTTGATTTGCGAATATCCGGTCTTTGCTGGTACCTCCCCTTTTGACACCCCGCTCAAAAGCACAATCTCAAAAGGTCACATTTATCCCAGCAATCTGACCCGACCGTCCCCAAATCCCATAGGTGAGACTTCCCCAGACATACTCATCAAGGGTACGTCATGTTTCCCATATTTCATAACCATGAGCATCTGCACTCTACCAAGCATGATACAGATTATACAGATTGGTAATCATGCAGATTCGTTCTGCATGCGTCATTTGGGCTTGTCTGAAAAAGGGCACTCCGGAATCCAATGGTAGGTGATCATTATCTCCATTCAATTGCCATTTTGAGACATTCCCTTCGACAAACCCATTGAAAGATGACTTTTTCTTGGTGAAAATATGTGAACATGCATATATTTCATAAAAGAAATACCATTTTGGTTTAGATTTCGACGTTTAGACCAGCATCAACCGCTGTTTGAAAGCCCCACGAACTCCGGTGCCTGCCGGGCAGAACGGCACCCTGGAGGGCCGCGACACGATACCGGCGCCAGCAGTGCTGGTAGTGGTGACCAGTGCTGTGGAGGTGGCGCCGGGGGCTGTGGTGGTCACCTCAATGGAATCCATTTGGATGTTTGAATTCAAAGATAATCATAGTCATAGTAAGTTAGTAAGATATAGTTATAGTTGAATTATAGTTATAGTAAGTTATACCTAGTTATATATATAGTTATAGTATGTTATAGTAATAATCATTATATTGTTGGAATTTAATTGTATAAGATCGTAATAGCTTGTCGTTCTCCAATTTGTATATGGATTATTGATTATAGATGTTGGGATTTTCGAGACTGACAATTTCTTCAGCATTATCCTCAAGAAATCATTGACGATGGCATGATCATTGATAATGGACTATTGATAGTGATGGTTGGATTAATGTTGCCGATAAACCACCGGCAACATCTGGGATATCCCTGATGTTGGGATTGTCTGGGTTTGTCATTGTTCATTGACTATTGATACTGATAATGATGTTGGGGATAATTACTAAATGATTGGGGAAATATGATCATATCGTGATGTTGAAGAACACTTTCGATTGTTACAACAATATCTTTTGGACCTATAAAAATCAATCACATTTTTTTGGTGCTTGGAGTACTCCATTGTTAGGGTCATCAGAGGACCGTTATCGATATTCACAGCAACGAGCTCATGATTTTCATCAGAATCAATATGGATTGTCCATGATCATTTCAGCACTTTGCAGTATGTTGAACAGCATTTCACTATTGCCAGCACTATATGTTGGGAAAAACGGAAAGTTCAATCATTATTTTGTGCTTGGAGTACCCCATTGTTCAGGATATATAATTATCAAATATTATCAGTGGATCATTATGTAATCAATGTTATCATTACAATCAATGATATCACTCGCAGCCCTTTGCAGAGATCTATGCAAGCCAGAAGGTCTGTGCCCACTTTGGAGACTCTAGGAGAGTTGGTGAGTGAAGCTTCAAAGGGCGGCTACTTCGAACTTTGTTTTCTGCTTTCAGCATCTTCCCCCAAACCAAGATAGACTTCAATGAAAGAAAACCCAATCTTCGAACCCACATCAAAAAACAACAGCCCATGCTCAAACTAGCCAGTCTTGAATTGCTTAAATTTATGCACAATTCCAAGGGATTCTCATCGTTTTCCAATTTTTAATTGTCATTTTGGGGTACCTCATCAACTTTTGGATTACCCCAAACAGCTATTTCCCAAAAAGCTAATTTCTTCCCAACATATTTCCCAACTTCCATCATTTTTTCTTAAACTCAGTAAACTCAGTAAACTCCCACTTTTCCACATTTTTTTCGATGGTCACCACAATCTTCCCAAGGCACTGCTCCTGTGGTGGCGACCGTTGTGGTCGTCGTGGTTGCCACGGTGGTTGCCACGGTGGTCGCTCGCGTGGTGGTCGCAGTGGTCGCTTCGTCGCTGCAGAACTGGCAGGTGGATTCCGCCACACAGCTGCAACGGCCGCAGTCCACGTAGCTGGCAGGGCACAAAGGCACCTGGTGAAGCTGGTGATTGGTACAGGATGGGCCCAGTTGTTGGTTTATAACCTCCATGAATACTATAGTTATATCTCCCATATACCATACTTAAGCCACTTATAAGGCAACTTAGCTACACTTATATGTTTCGATAAGAGTTCGCAACACATTTGGGATACAAAGCAAAATCGACTTGGATTCTGTTGAGTCAATTGATTGGTTTTTGGTCAGAAAAATGGACGCTCCAAAATCGTCGCTTTTTACTATCAATTATACGGGCTTCCTGCTAAATTGTCATTCAACCAAGTCTGCTAGGCCAAACTTGAATTCCTGGCAACTTCTTGATAATGGGGAATGAATGGATGGTGCAAACAACATGATCCTTGATTAGAACCGTCCTGGCAGAAGGAGTTTCACTGAGGGCTGTTGATCAACTCCTTTTCACTCCTTTTCAACTACTGTTGCCAGCACCAACCCTGAATTGTGGACTACACTACAGTGGGTAAGTAAGCTACAAAATGCAATTGGCATAAACCTAATTCCTGATGCATTAAGGCCATTAGTAGAACGTGGGTCGTGCCTGCGGGACCAAAGCGATGTCAACTCAAATTAAGGATGCCAGGAAAAATCAATGTTTGTTACAGTTTATTGATAGTCTTCCAAGCACACCAATTTGTTGGGTTGCTCGGTGTCGAAATCAGCTATTACTATTTTGCAATTTACGATAGCTAGGTCAAACAACCAGTGCAATCCAACATTGCAGATCAGTCTTGGCGAAAAAGGCAATAGCAAAACCACACGCAACCATGGATGATAAAAAAACATAGCTAATGTTCATCCAGCTGGATAGTATGGGGAACAAAATGGCAAAGACTTAAACCATCAGTTGGTTCACCCACAGTTTTATTGTTGATATCTCCCCATCCTGGATGGGAAAACACCCCGGTGCTACCCCGAGGCAACCCCTGGAAGATGGAGCCCCCATAGCAGACCCATTTTCGATTCAATTTTACGATGTTAAATCAACATATCTTAATATCATATCTTTCATGCTATATGTATATACAATATATGTGTTGTATGAGGTGAGTGTTGAGATTGATTCAATTAGAACATGATTTCAGATTTAAATCAACTGGAAATTGTGGATGACTTAAAAAAAACCACCGCGTTAACCCAAACTTCACCTTGGAGGGCTTCGTGACGGGCACCGGGCTGGAGCCATTGCCGCCGGGCAAAGCTCCTGGGATGGAGATGGGGATGTTGCTGGTGTTTTATGAGTATATGATATTGATATTGATATGATAATTGATATGATGATAATCCCAATTTTTATGAAGATCCCAGAGTTCGTCACTTGCTTCGTCACTTGCTTCGTCAGGCATGTGTAACACATCTGTGTAAGACTGTAAGACCTGTCCTGGACACCAGCGGCAGCTACTCTCTGGCACCTCAGGATCAAACGAAAAAAATGCGACATAGTCGTTCTTCATGCGTAGAACTTCGGATCGGCGTGCCATTTAGATAGTGCACACTCATAGGCATGTGCCAAACATTCGCAGCATGTGTGTAAGTATGATCCGTCACTGGCAAAAAAATTGCCTGCCCATGTTCCATGCCTCCCACGCATTTCAACCACATTTAATACGCAAGGACTCCATTTTAGCAAACATGGCCTTTGCTTTTGCCACAATTTCGCTGGCAAAATGCTGATGAAAATCAAGAGAAATTGGCATCTGCCCTTCAACGCAGTGAACATCATTGGTGGTGCCAATCCTCAAGTCGTATCTCGATGAAGCAACTGGAGTGGGCCAAGCCACACAAAGGCAGGTTCCACAGTCGACGTTGCCCTTCGGACACCCGGGGATGGCGGAAGGCCGCGTGCTGGTGTTCCTGCAGTGGTGGGGATTGATTTTTTTTATATGCAGGGTATCTATTTTTAAACCTACTGATTGGATAATCCATGAATCAGATATGAATCTGATTCTGTGCTAATGCCAGATTGAAGAAAATCATACCATGCCGATACTGATGATGTTGTACTGTATCTACTGCCATCGTGATACGTCAGAGTCATCTTTAGTCCGATCAGAATCATTCGGACTGGGCAGAAAGACACCTGGAATTCGGAACAAGCCTCTTTTCTTCGCTACTTTATGTGTTTGCTGGAGGATATGCAATTAGTGTGCTACACCGCCCCACCGGATGCAGGAATCCCAATGGCTTCAACCAGGTGTCGGCAACGGCACAGGCAAGATCTGCACCGGTAAAAGAGGGCAGCTGCCGCAAGTGGTCTGGTGAGCGAAAGAGTGGGGTTTCTTCATCAGAAATCCACAAGAAGCTATAGCTTTTACAATAAACAAACAGGTAAATATGAACATTTCCTGTACGTCGAAACCGATCCAAGTCTTGGGATTTTCATGTCCCATTTGTCCACTGCTATGATGAGCTTGTCCACTGCCTCGGGAACGCAGAGGCAACTTCCACAGTCCACATAGTCCCTGCCACAAGGTCAGACATCTTCCGCATCTGACATTGAAATCCCACAACCCAATGCTGATCACTTGGGGGTATCCTGGCTATCCCGCAATTTGAGACACAGTGAAACACATGTTGTTTCAGTGGTTAAATAGCAGGACTGACCCCCCAAGAGATATGATGTGTGTTGAGGAAACGGATGGGACCAAACTTCAATCTACAATGTGGCTTTGTCCTAGAATGGGGTATATATATATATATATGCAGTATATGTATATATATATATAAGGCATTTCAGTTCACTGGGCCGCCCCTTCTCGCCCGTGACTGCTCACTGCCTTAGCGGGAGTTGTCTTTGTATCTCCCGCGGGCCCACGGCCTTTGTTTTGCTGGCGTTTTCTACGGACTGAACTGGCTAGCCCTGGTCCTGGTCTCGCTTAGCATTTGTGTGCTCTGCCTGTGGCATCACCTTGTTCTGGTGTCCCGGCACCGTTATCAATCCCGGGGGAATCTCAACTGCCTTTGTCTTGGTGTATTTGGCCACGATCGGGCTCTGCATTTGCATTCTACCACAACCTTGCCGAAGCGCTGGACAGGTTTTATGCATTTCTTGGTCCTGGTCTTTGTCATCATTGTGAATTTTGGCAACCATTACTCCAACTTTGCGCAGAAGGAAGAGAAGACTGAGATCGATTGCACGTTTTCGCTGGTTTCTTCATCGAACTGGGCGTCAACCTCTCGATTTCTTCCAGCTTCGGCATATCAAGCATATCCTTTCAGGCCATCACTCGGTCGATTGGAATTTCCAACGCCGTATTGTCAAGGCGATGGAGCAGTGGAGTTATCGTCAGACTCCATGGAAATGCCGTTTTTGTCGTCGATTGAGCAAAGCGGCTGCCACTTATTGTGGTCAATGCGGAAAGCACTGGGAAGAGGCTTTGGACGAATCACACCGTCATGTTCAGCATCCGACTCGTCAGGGACAAGAACATTCCTACACCCAGTGGCAAGAGGAGCCACCATGGACTTCACAGACATGGGACGATGGCCGAGGAATTTCACAATCGCCTCGAAGCTATCGATCGCAGACTCCAAAGGGTCAGAAGCAGCCCAAGAATCGAGGAAAGAACAAAGGAAGAAAGGCAAGGGCAAGGGCAAGTCGCAGTTTCAGGCCCCACCTCTGCCAGAGGCTCCTTGGAGCACGCCCAACACTTCCTCCACGGCAGCAGCTTCAACAGCAGTCCCAACGCAGGCCGAAGCGCAATTGCGATCCATTGTGGCAGCTTTGAAGAAGAACGAGACCAACCTGCCGCCCGAGCTGCAGAACCTCCTCCACGAGAATGCCAAGGTGCAATCACAAGACATGACCAAGGTCTTGCATTCAGCAGTGACGAAATTGGGGAAAGCCAAGAAGGCACTACAAGATGCAAGAGCCTCCAGATTGAATCTCCACAATGTATGGCGATCGTATCTCGATGCCAGTGTGGACAAGTGGCATCAATTCTGCAAAGATTTCGAGAGTCAGGATTCGGACTTGGCACAACAAGTTCAAAATGCTACAGAAGCTGTCAAGGTGGCACAAGAAGGGCTGGAAGCGTCCAAGAAGGAGGCCAAAGAGGTCATCGAGGTGGAGAGCGACGGCAAATCAGAGATGGCCGTGGACGTCTCGGACGAAGAGACTCAGGAAGCTCTCGACAGCAAGGGCCAGCTGCTCAAAGAGGGCATGACCTTCATGCTGCAGAACCTCGAGTCCTTGAAAGGCAAGGCCGACATGGCGGTTCAAGAGAGCGCCAACAAAAGGCCTCGCATTCAGGCGGACGATCCAGGAGGTTTGCGACATTCCTCGCAGCCGGATTTTGCGCAGCCCGGTCAATAGACCAAAGGGAGATTGGCTATGGGCTTTCATGCCATGGAGGATTTCTCACGCCTCCATGTGTGCGCAAATGGGCACATCCAGCTGTCCATGAATCTTGGTTCGTCTCTGAATGGCAAGCATCAATTGACGCCCTTGACGAGGCCTTCAACTTGGGTTTTGTTGATTTTCCTCAACCAGTTCCCACAAGGAGTCGCAATTCTGATGCAGTGCCATCGCGGTCACCGAAGTTTTGCTCCTTTTCGGATGACATCCAGCTTTATCTTGGACTTGACGATGAAATACATGCCTTCTCTACCACGATCAAACATGAATCTCTCCAATGTTGGCCTGAGAAGCCCTGGAGACGCAGAATTACCAAACCCACATCTATGTCCGGAACAGATGACTTTGAGCAGACCTATGTTTCTGACAGTTCATCTGGTTCCTCTACTTCCAGGACGAGACGTGGCTCTACATCGCCCAGGCCCTTGCCGCCGCATCAATGGCAACAGAGCATCTGGGACATTTTGATTTTGGAAGGAAGGCCTGACACGGATAGCGACAATGCTCCTGTCATTTTTCTTTCTTCCTACTATCTTGATCATGTTCGACATCGGCATCATTACCAAGCACGACCGCTTCGGTTCTCGCTCGATTTCAACAATTGGGAGGATGACATCAGATTCATGTGGGAGGACCACATCGACCCTGACCTCAGTATTGAGGTGAGTTTGGTTCAGCCTCAACCTCCTGCAATCATCAATGGGAACATCTTTGGCACGCTGATTGTTCACCAAAATCCTCATGAACCACAAGTTGCATGTCTCATTTCGGCAGTCATCATCTCTGACCCGAACACCAGGGTACAAGAGTCAGCCCACTCGGTCGGGCCTTTTCTGCCTCCTGAGCAAGCTCTTCAACTTGGTGGAGTCGATGAACTATGTGATCTTCGAGAACAAGTAGGTTCCGATGCATGCTCTCTTCACATTGGATTCCGTCTTCTCCCACGTGATCAACCAATTCCAATTCACGATGGACTTGGCATTACCATTCGAGTTCCCTCACCTATGAGCGTTGAGGAGGACGAGCACAACCTTGCTGTACGCATTCACCATCAACATGCGCAACAACCTTTGCATGGATGGCGACGAGAAGGAGATCATCAAGAACAGCCTGAGACGAGACATCCCACAGGTGATACTGCTCCACCTGAGTACCCTGAAGATGTGACCTCTTTCATGGCAAGATCGTTTTCCAGTTCAGCCTATCGGCAAGGCAGTACAAGAGGGCCTTCCACATCCTCGAGTTCTTCACGCACCAGCACTCTTGGCTTGGATGAAACTCGAAGAGCCCTTGTTTTCTGCCTGGATGGACGCAGTATCAACATCGATGCACCTTGGGACGATGCTGATAGGCTTTGGCATGTTTGCTCACAAGCCTTGGACATTGCTGAAAGAGACATCATGCGTGTCCTTCATGTTGACTACAGGCCAGATGACATTGCCCAAGATGAGCTGGAATGTCTTCTTTTGTTGAAACGACAAGAAGAACCACCTGTCAGCTTTCTCCGTTTGTGTCTTCAAGACGTGAACTATGCAGCTGATCGACGTGGGCCACGAACTTTGATCTCTCGCAAATCCACATTGATACCTCGTCGAAGCAACAGAGCCTCTATCATCAGGCTTGCGGGCTTTGAAGGGCACTGTTTTCATGAGCCTTGGCGATGCCATGTGTGGATCAATGGCAATCTTTTCTCCGATGAGATCGAGGTCATTGAACTCAACAATGGTGACTATGTCCGCATCGATATCCCCTCTCATCCTGAAGATCCTGAACAGCCTTGTGCAGCTACATCTACTGCATCGGATGGCCAGCTTCAGGACTACAACAACACATCATTACAGACCCATGCCTCTGATTTTGATGACATGAGCTACATGCAAATTGGCAGTCTTCCAACGGGTCAGAAATGCAAGCTCGACAACAACAGTGTGGTTGGTGGACCTGAGTTCGCCGTCCCTTTTGAAGCTCCTGAACCACAGGGTCGCCCTGAAATACTTCTTGGCGAACATATTGAATGCATGGACGCACTGCATCGTTTTTGGTGGCTTCATTCCGCTGTTGAGATCGAAGAGGAAGGCCGTGTCCTCTATGTTTCTACGTGGTACACTGATGGCACGAGATGGCCTTCATGCGAAGCTTCAAGACCTGTTCGCCTTCTGAACGACCCTGGAATCTGGGCTGATCGCCTTGCTGAAGCTTGGGATGACAAAGTTGACCCTGATTGCCCATTGCATTTGTATCTCCTCACTCCACAACCGAGATCCAATTTGTGGTCTCCTATTGGGACACCACATGTGCTCATTGTTCAGAACCCCCTTCCTGATCATCGCAGCGTTCACATTGCTACGCTTGATCCTCGCAATGCTGCTTTGGAAATTCCGAGTTGCATTCGAACAGTTCCCGCAGCGTTGACGCGGATTGACTTGCTCACAGCGGTGGATCTTCAACACGCATGTCTTCCTGGACATGTTGATTGCATGATCTGGTGGGGAGAACATGAATTTCGTGATGGACATGTTTTCCCTGTTCGACATGGTTTTGCGTTTCTCATCATTCGCAATCACATTGCAGCTGCGGCCAGCTCCTCTCAACATGTTCCTGTTCCACCTCTTGAAGATGGAGCTGATGATGGGGAGGCGCTTGCACTTTTACAAACCAAGCGGAGTCTGAAGCGCATTGAGCTTTCCCTTGACTCCTTGATTGCAGATGAAAACAGTCAGCAACACGAACAGATTGTTCCCATTCGCCTCATTGCTGGAGCTGCCATGCCCCCTCTGCCCACATACCTTGAATGTGAATTCCCAGGCAATGTGCTTCAAATCAAAGCTGCACTGAAACACTGGGGACATCAATGTGATGTGCATCGCTTTGATCAACATGAAGTTGCTCTTTGTTTGCCACAAGGATGGGTAGCAGAACCTTCTCACTGCCACTACATGTTCAGCCACTCTGATGTCACGGACACCTTGGGGGCTTTTCTTCACACTGCTGAGAACGTCATGAGCGACAATGACATGATGCGTTTTCTCTATGGACTAGGCTATTGGAGAGCTGTGATCCTGTCGTGTGAAGAACTGAGTGGTGGCCTTCGACATGTTGTCTTTGAGAATGTGTCCGTGCAGCTCCCAGTGACTGAGATCAAAACAAAAACTACACCGAGTTGGCCTCCTCCACTTACGACTTCTCCATCCACGGGGTGCACCTTTGTTGCTCCTGATATTGTTGCTGATGATGACTGCGTGATTCGATATGGCATCTCTTTACAAGATGTTCACGACTTCTTTCAATCAGCTGATGGCATCCTGCAGCGTGATCCTGCAGGTTATGACTTTCCATCGACCACGCAGGCAGCCTTACGCATGAGTTCATCAGTCAATCTGGATGATTTCGACCGGATTATCATCTACACTGACGGCTCTTCTCATGCTCTGGACAAGCACAAGCCGGCATTATGGAATGCAGAACAAGGCAGGGCCGACACCTGGGCTTTCACTGTCTTGGGTGAGTGCTACCAAGGTGTTGAAGGGCACACAATTGAAGTCCTGGGTTGGCTTGCACATGAAGTTCATTATGAAGTTGACAGTCCGCATCATCTGGGTGCTGAATCAATGGGATCGGACATTGCTGAACGCGAAGCTCTGACATGGGCAGGATTGTGGCGGTTGGCACACAATGTTGCCACACCCACCCTATTCAGAACGGATTCACAAATTTCAGCATTGCAGGCCAGTGGATGCATTGGATGCCACGACAATGGGCCATCTTTCCAATGTTTTCGAGGAGTTTTCCAAGCGTTGGAAACCGCCTTGCCTGGAGACCTTCTCCAAATTGAGCACATCCCTGGCCATACCCAAGAGCCTTTCAATGACATGGTGGACTGGTTGGCAAAGAAGGAAAGAGAGAAGAGTTTCTACTGCCAACGTCAGAAGATCTCCCTGACTACCTGGCGTAGAATCCTTCCGCATTTCTGGACTTTCTTCAGTGTTGCTGATGGCTTGCCGCCGAGATGCACTGCAGGGCTCCATGCTTATGCACCCTTTCTGCCACCAGCTCTCAAGCCTTCCCAGTTTGATGTGAAGACAAATAACAAACCGAAACCTATTTCACTGCATTTGACCTTGAGTTTGTGCACTGCCAATATTGCTTCGATGTACAATGGACCTTGGGGCCATGCAGGCAAAACTGAATATCTACGTCAGCAATTTCTCTCCATGCGTCTGCTCTTTCTGGGCATTCAGGAGAGCCGCACTCCTGAAACTTTCAGCGCTGCGGAGAAGGTCCTGAGAATTAGCTCTGGACATGCACCTGGTGGCCTTTATGGTGTCGAGCTTTGGGCGAATTTCAATGTTCCCTATGGTCGTCTTGGTCATCGAGAGCTTTTCTTCAAGCGCGCAGATTTTCAGGTACTGCACAAGGACCCACGCACTTTGCTTGTCCGCGTTGAGACAGAATTTGTTCACTTTGCTCTTCTTGTTGGCTATGCTCCCCAGTCTGGACTTCCCATTGCTGAACGGTGCGCCTGGTGGGACGCTCTACAACACATTGCCTCCTTGAAAGCTCAAGATGAACAACTTTTTGTTTTTCTCGATGCCAACGCAGACCCTGGGCCATGCGATGACAAGCATGTTCTGACTACTGGCTTCAAGCAGACTGCCAACACGGAATTCTTGCGTACGTTCCTGTGTGCTCATGATCTTTGTTTGCCCATGACCAGCTCTTACCATCAGGGTAGCGTTGACACTTGGACCAGTCCTTCTGGGCAGTATAGCAACTGCATTGATCATGTTTGCATTCCGTGTGAGAGCCTTGCCAGCTGCACCTTTTCTAGCGTCCTGCATGATTTTGACCTTGGCAATGGATGCTTTGATCATTTTGCTGTTGGCTTGCAATTGGAATGGCAAGAATGGATCTATCATAGCCCTGCAGTTCAAAAGAGTAAATCAAAGGCCTTTTGTCGCGCCTCTGTGACAAGACAGCATGTGCAACAAGTGCTGCAAGCATACATCCCTGCACCATGGCCACAGGATGTTGAACAACAAGTTGATGATTTCAACGGGCACTTGACTGAAGGCATTGCGAAATGCTGCCCCAGATCTTCTCAGAAGCCAAAAAAGGCCTTCATCCCTGATTCTGTTTGGCATTTGAGGCTTTGCAAGTTGGAGAGACGAAGAACCCTCAAGGAGCTCGAATCTCGACGAAGATTTGAACTCTTATATCTATGTTTTTCTGCCTTTGTGAATGCTTCTTCAGAGCAAGCCGGCCATGCTTTTTGGAAGTATGACACCTGGCTACTTTGTTGCAAGATTCGAGTCTTTGGTGCTTTACACAATGCAGCCAAGCTCCTGCGAGTTCAGCTCAAGGAGGCCAAGACGGCTCACTTGCAAACACTTTTTCAAGAGTTACCTCCGGATGCCCCTGCGTCAAGGATTCTGCATGAATTGAAGCAGGTGATTGGATCCACCAATCTTCGCAAGGTGCATCAGAAAGCCCTTCCCTTTATTAGAAATGATCAAGGGCGGGTGTGTCGCAGCCCGACTGAAGCCTTGGACACATGGGTACAGTTCTTCATGCAGATGGAGGGTGGCCAAAGACTTGCATTAGATCAACAGAGGCGGGAGTGGATTGACAATCTGACATCCTTTCGTGCTTCCTCCCTGGATTTGACTCTTGCGGACCTCCCTAGTTTGTGCGAACTGGAAAGTGCGTACAGGAGAGTTAAGCCAGGCAAGGCAACTGGACCAGATGGCATTGAAGCACTCCTATGCCACTTGAGCCCTGCAGATTTTGCGAAGAAGACCTACTCCCTCATGCTGAAAACCATCACCCATGGGCAAGAATGCCTACTCCATAAAGGGGGTAGGTTGCACCCCCTATGGAAGGGGAAAGGAGCCAAAGATAGTTGCGCGGCATATCGCAGCATCTTGATTTCGTCGCACATCGGCAAGACCGTTCATCGCTGTCTCAGAGTTCACTCAGCAGATCTTTTTGAGCGTTATTTACAAAAACAACAACTTGGCGGCAAGCGCCGTATTTCTGTTGCCACAGGAGTCCATCAAGCCCGTGCATTCTTACGATCTCGTCGGCAACGTGGTCTCAACGTTGGCATGGTGTTTTTGGACCTATGTGAAGCTTTCTATCGCATTGTCAGAGAGCTGTCAATTGGGGGACCTGCATGCGATGAAACCATTGCCAACATGGGTCATCGACTTGGGATGGGCACTGATCTTTTGCATGCCTTGTACCGACACCTTGATGATGACCATGCACTTGCTCGTGCAGGTTTTTCTCAGCAGATGCAGATGATGGTGCGGTCATTGCATGCAGACACGCATTTTTCCCTTCAAGGACAAGATGATCGCTGCAAGACTCGTCTAGGGACTCGTCCTGGTGACAGCTGGGCTGATATCATCTTTAGTTTCTTGTGGGCCCGTCTTCTACATGACCTTGAGGATGAATTTCAAGCAGCAGGCCTCATTGACAATGTGCCGGCAGAGCTGGGGCTACGCAGTTCTTTGCTCCCATGCACCACTGACGCTCCACCTTGTATGACGACCATTGGATTTATTGGTCCTACATGGATGGACGACAGTGTTTTCTGCTTTGCTGATTCTCATGCTGATGCTTTGGAAAGGAAAGCCGCTCATCTTTGCGGGCTGCTGCTCCAGAAGTGCCGAGAATTCGCAATGACGCCCAACCTCAATCCCGGCAAAACAGCTGCAATGTTAGTTTTCCAGGGACCGGGCTCCGTTGCTGCCAAAAAACGCATTTTCGGACCCAGTGCCCCAAAGTTGCTGACCATTCTCACAGAATATGATGCGCAGCAAGTTCAGGTTGTTACAACCTATACACATCTGGGATGCCTCTTGCACCACAAAGGTGATATGAGGCAAGAGGCCCGAAGGAGATTCAGCATCGCACAGACAGCCTTCCAGCAGCACCGTCGGTTGCTCTACCAGAACAAGCAGTTGTCTCTGCGCAGGCGTGCTGAGATTTTCAGGACACTAATCCTCAGCAAATTTGTTTATGGATGTGAGTCGTGGACACTGGCTGATGCTCGCACTCGCCATTTTGTTCACACTTCCCTGATCAAGCTCTACAAGCGGCTCATCCATCGAGCGCATGACGTGCACATGACTGATGATGAGATCCTGAGAGCCACTGGTCTTCCTGATCCATCGACTCTTTTGCGCATGCAGCGCTTGAGGCACTTTGGTGCTCTGTACGCTACTGCGGATTCCGCTGCCTGGGGAGTTCTCAATGCTGATACAGAATGGGTTTCCCTGATTTGCAGTGACCTTGATTGGATGTGGAAGCAACTTCAAGGATCGTCAGACCTGCAAGATCCCAGTTTGCATCTCGCTTCATGGACATATTTGATGTTACACCACAGAGGCTACTGGAAGAAGCTCATTTTGAGAGCTGGTGCTCATGCTGCTGCTCAGCGAGACAATCTCCACGATGTGCAGTGCTTCCACCGCAACATCCTGTCGCAGCTCCATGAACACGGTAGCTTGATTCACCCACCTCCTTTTGAAGTCAAGCGACTTCCTACTGACATTTTCGCTTGCATGACGTGTGAGAAGCGTTTTTCGTCACGTGGAGGTTGTGGCGCACACATGTTCAGAACACATGGAGTTTTTCAAAAGGTACGCCACCTTTTTGACGGCACGCAATGTGCTTGCTGTCTGAAAGAGTACCATAGTCATGGCAAACTCCAAGGACACCTTCTGCGTGCCGAGTTTTGTCGCCGTAGTCTTCAACGCAAGGGCATTCATGTGACACCTGTCCCAGGCATTGGTTCGATTTCCAATGTTTCGTTGGAACGTGCACATGACTGTGTTCTCCCTCCACTTCAAGCTGCAGGCCCTCTTCCTGCTCCCGGACGCAGAGCTGAGCATGATGATTACGATCTCACCCTCTTCGAGGAGCTCTACCTGCTCATGTTGGACATGCAGGGCGCGGATGTGGGGTTGGAGAAGCTCAAGAAGTGCATTCAGAGCCGAGCTATCACATGGGAGAAACTCAGATTGACTCTGCATGCATTGCGTGACGAAGCGACCGTTGATGATGTGGCTGCTTTGGCTATTTCGTCCGAAACATTCCATGCACTTCTACGCCGCCTAGCGGATCCCTGCACATGGCCTTTCTTGACACATGACATTGTCGCTCTGGAAGGACACTGGAATCGAGATGTACATGATTTGGCTGCGTACTGCTGCCGTGAGGCAGACACAGCCGGAGAACGTGGACCTCATGATCATGTTCCTCGTGGCTTTGGGTGCGAGCGATATTTCTTGCACCTTTTTTCAGGCCGTCGCCGTAAAGGGGACTTCCAGTTCTTCTTTGACCGTTTGCATGATGCCAGTGAGGGCATTCTCATTCACATCATTTCACTGGATGTTGTGCTCAGCAGCACTTGGGGCGACCTTCTGCAACCTTCAGCGCGTGCCTTTTGGAGGGATGCCATCCGCAGGCGCATTGTGGCTGGACTGATTGGGGGACCGCCATGCGAGACTTGGTCGCAGGCTCGGGAGCGTGAAGTTTCGGCACGTGGACGAGCCCCACGAGTTCTTCGCACTGCTGAGTCGCCTTGGGGCAAGGAAGCCCTGCGCCTGCGTGAGCTGAAGCAGCTGAGTGTAGGGAATTCGCTGATGGGTTTTCAACTTGAAGCAGTTGTGGACCTATATTGTGTAGGTGGCATAGCACTGACTGAACATCCTGCTCCACCCAAGGCGGAGACATCAGTGTCTATTTGGCGTACACCAATTTTGCAACTCCTGCTGAGTTTGCCAGGTTTTGAACTTCTCCAGCTGGCGCAGGGCTTGTGGGGTGCCAAATCCCCTAAACCTACTTGCTTGCTGATTCTTAATGCCCCGGGCATCCAGCAGGATCTTCTAGAATGGCAGGTGACCAAGGATGTGCCTGTACAGACATCCATTGGTGTTGACCTAGCTGGAGGCTGGTCGACTGCTGCCTTGAAAGAGTACCCACCAGCTTTGAACAGAGCGCTGGCTCAGGGACTCGCCAAAGCACTACGTCGTTGCGCAACGGACGACACAGTGCACATTCCACAGGCCTTTCGCGACCGATGTTCCCCGATGTTGTGTACAGGTTACGGAGGCGCGATTGGACCTGATTTTGCAGGCTAGAGGCTTGCTCTCGAATTTGACCGTGCTAGCCGCAGCGTGAAGCTTCTGTGTGCTTGTGTCAAAAAAATATATATATATATAATGGAGCTACTAATGGGATTATTGTTTTTGTTTAGTAATGGCTAAGAATCATCATACTTATGGATTAATACTCAATTTTCATCCTCTTTATTGTTTATAATAAAAGTTATCTTTAACACCATAAGTATGATGATTCTTATAAACAAGCACTAATAAACCTGTAAAAATCATGGTGCCACTGTTTATCATCTTTAACACTAATCCGGTGGCAGCTGTTTATCGTTTCATCCAAGCGGCTGTGGGCAGTACGGCACCGAGGAGTTCCGAGGCGTCACTGGATTCACCACGGGGGGAGCAGTGCCGCCACCCGGACACCAGGTGCACCTGAGCTCCAAGGAAAGCCCGTTTCGCCTGATGTGTGGTGAGATATGGTGAGATTAAAATGAGTTTAAAATGAGATAAACCATTTTGAACCGTGAAACATATGAGATTTTGACATTTGAATCATCCATCGGATTTTCAGACTTGCTAGAGTTTGGGTATCTGATGAAACTTTGACAGAGAGTCCCTTCTCTCGGATACCGATGGGACCTGGCGAACCTAAGGTTTCTGTGTGTATCACCTGTGTTAAGGAAATCAGTGGCAACGGGTAACGGGTGGGATACACGCAACGCATACATCGAAATTGGCATCGCTTGCCAAGACATACTGCCATACAGGTCCCAGCGCAACCACGACAGGCTTATGAATGCTGGTGACAGAAAAATGCACGTCTGATTTGGCAAGACCAGAATGATCATATCACCAGGGACCCGTGGAGGCATGGTACGAAGTGCAAGCTGAGGTACGTGGAGCTTGGCACGCACAAGCAAGGGCCACAGTCCACATGGCCTTCCCAGGTCCAGATGGAAATGGTGGAAATGGGATCGATAAATTGTCGAGTTGGAATCAAGGCCACAGTTCTAAGCTTTCGAATTGTGGATTCTGCATTTTCTTCAGAAGTTGGATATTTCTTGCAGGAAACAAGATTCATCCCCAAGTCACACAACAAATCTCTCCAAACAACAAATCGTCGAAGGCTCTAGCACTGGATTCCCATATATGCCAACCCTTGTACGACAGCTTTTCACCATTCCTTGCGATTAAAGCTGCAATCCTCAGCAACCATCAGTTCTTTTCTGACTTCTCAATTCCAGCCCAAAAGAGCGCTGCATAGCATTTCTGATATTTTCGAATGGTATCTACCAGTGTATCAAACCCTGCCGTCGAAGCGGCCAAGTTTTTTGCCAAGTGGCTCTGAGGGCATCCAATCACGGTGGAGGGCCTGGATACACCGTGCATCCAGCGGTGACCGGTCATTCCGGTCATTGAGATTTCGAGTTATGGCATCTTTCATCACATCATCACAAAGTCTGATTAGACGTAGCCTCTGGTAATTTAACGTAGCTATGGAAAACCACCATTTTTGATGGGAAAACTCACTATAAATGGCAATTTTAAATAGCTATGTTAAATTACCAGAGGGTAGTTACTATAGTTAAAAGCTGGGAATGGCCTGTCTGATCTCACCTGTAATAGAAACACAGAAAGAAGATCCAGCCGCAGCCGCCCAAGGTTTCCAGCACCTCATGGAGATGTTGCTGTCGGGGTCCACATTGCTTCCGTTTCCGTTGGTAGGACCGGGTCCTGGGAACACACCCGGGTCCTGTGGGGTGGTGTTTGAATAGCCATATGGAAACAACTGGGCAAATTGGGGGTCATTAACATTCATTAACTCGGTTTACCACATTGATCCTGATTTTAACTGTAAACCACTTAGCAAAAAAGGATCTCCGACTCAAGAAAGGTGGCAAGGATTCTCGGTCGATGTCTTCTATCTGCTAAAATCTCCACTGTTTCGCAGTGAAACCTCCACTTCATTCTTTTTTCCTTAAAAAAAATGGAGTTCTTTCCAAACATATATTGTAAGCTCCATATTTTCGTCATAGCTGGGTCTGAGTTTCCATGATTTATATCTTTATTTGATTTTATTTGGAGGTTTCCATAGTCATGGGGACCCCCAAATCCATGTTATTTTTGGATTTTCCATGAAATGGCAGTGTGTCAAAACCCATGGAATCCCCTTCTGTTCACATCAAAATAGCTGGGATTTATGGATGTTCATCCCCCTAAATAGCTGGTATTTTTATAGGTATTGATCCATAGCCAAATCAACCATCCAGCTATTGGGGATCCCCCAGATTTCATCGGTGGTCCATCGCAGAATCCGCGACTGCAGGTGTCTGCTGGCACACATCGGCAATGGCCGCAATCCTGGGGGATCATGCCCCCAATCAGAAGAGCCCATGGGATTTAATGGTGGTTTAATGGGATCCAATGGGATTTAATGGGAGTTGATTGGATTTAGTGGGATTTAATAGGGTTTGATGGGGTTTAATGATGTTTTATGGTGATTGATAGGGATTGATAGGGATTGAAGCAACAAAAATGGCGATATTCATGGGACATATCGCTTGGTGAACTTTTTGAATTTGCTTTTTGGCCTGCTTATAGATGATTTATCTACTCAACGTGGTGCTTCTCTATAGCCTAATGTTCGTTTACTGGTAATACACGTAGCAAGGAGCCCCAATTTATACCATCGGATCCAGCACATTCCACCACTGTAGCATCATCATTTGACGCAATAAAGCTGGTATGGTATATATACATATGCATATATGACATACGTGTATATACATACATATATATATATATAAATACATATATATATATACATATTTTGTATACATATATATATACACATATTATATATAATACATATATATATAATACATATATACATACATATGTTATATATATATATATACATATATATATATATATATCGATATATAACGTATCACATTTAAGGACAAATTGACAACTGACATGGTATATCAACAAATTAGAGCCCTACATATAGGGGATGTGAACACTCGGGTACCCATTGGCTTTTGATCCAAAACCATGTTCAGCTGGAAGCGACAGATCCAACTTATGTCTATAAGTCTATAACCATCAGTAAGTAATTCACCTTTTCGCTATCTGGTTTTGTCTCAAAATGGGATGTACCCCAAAATCAACAACTTTCAGGAAAACACTGTGGTAGTGAACCCCTTGGATTTCTTTCCCAAACAAATTTGGAACTAACAAGACTAACATCTTGGATCAATTTGCTACCATTCAAATCGAGGTTTCCTATGGAATTACCCCCCAGTTATCCATTTTAGTTTCAGATTTCCCATGAATTTCACCAGCAAAATATGGACCCTGCTGCGGCCTTAAAGCCTGCCGGACATCCGACCACCGCGGAGGGCTTCACCCCTTCCACCTTCCCTCCCGGAGTGTTGGGTACACCCCGTAGGGAAGCCAAGGAGGCCGTCACCTGGATCCCAACAGCTTGATGTGGAAAGATTCGTGGTTTCAACCAGACATGGGAAAAAACATCGCCATATAACAACACAAAAACAACAGGTCTCAGCTGTTCAGGGGCTGTATAGATGGATATTTGGGGTTTGGTGCTCATAGATGTTGAATCAATAGCATCCTGATTTGCTATTGATTCAACACATTGCAAATAGTGCTTAAGCTGAATCCAAACTTGCTTCCTCCATGATGCTCTTTCATGATGTTTAGCTTTCCTTCCAATCATTTTTTAATTAATCCCCACAATACAGCGGACGAATCCAGAGGATTTCCCATTGTTGGCGACAGCATGTTTGTTTTTACTTTGTTTCCCCGAAGATTCAACATGACCACTATCAAAGATGTTTTCCTATACTTCTAGATTTTTCTGGTCATATCGAAAAGAAACAACATACAGTAGTATCACTATTTTTTGACATGGATTTTCCTTTCTGCTTCTTTTTGCGGGTGCAAAAAAAATGGCTGGCCGTCCCCAACAACCAGGGCACCTGTAGAATCACCAGCAGCTTCATGGCCAGGAAATTGTTGGTTCACTGTGGCTTAGTTGGCTGAGCCAAACGTGCGGATGCTGAGTTCGGAAATCGGACCGGGGAGATTCAGAGATCACAGCAGTTTTGAGTTTGGTGCTTCTAGTGATTCTAGTGAACATGAAAGTGTATGAAAGTTAGATTCACCAACAAGAAGGCTGGATATGTATCGAATCCCCAGCCAAAAGGGTGGCTGAGCCCCATGAGATCTTCCGATGTGCCCAATCCCACTGTATCCAGCAGAAGTTGCCTGAATGTGGGGCAGAACATGGTTTTGGCCCATCTTTGTTGGTTAAACTTCGCCATTATTTGGGCTGGCCCCAAATACTTTCCAAACTCAAGTTCTAAGTAATGTTACTCAGTTACTCTTTTCTTGGAATCATTCAATCCCTATTCTTTGTTAGCCAAATTTCACTGGATATGGGGATCTTTCCCTCAGTCTGACCCCATATTTGAGGCCCACATTGGCGCTGGCACCTAGCCATGGCAGCTCGAAAGTATTGCGACACCCGCGCAAGAGACAACTCAAGGTGTCTTTCTCCCTGGGGTGAAGCTACTGGGGTTGCTCCTAAACTTGGATGAGTGCTGAATTCTGCAGGTCGTTGGGTCTTGAATTCTGACCAAACGAGTTTTCCGGCCAAGAGTTTTCCCAAGGGGGCGAGTGACTGAAAAGATGGTCAAACTTCTCGCTGAAACTGGAAGCGGCTGCGAGGATGCTGCCTCTGGGCCAATCCGTGCGGGTGAAGCCGTTGGATAGCATCCAAGCCCCCATGAATCAGATCATTAACGCAGAAAACGGAACATCTATGGGATAGTCTCGGATAGTCTGAGTTTTTGATGCTCCATTTGCTTCTCAGCCGAAATGCCAGATGGCACCCATACCCAGAACATCGCATAGAAACCCTTTGGATCACACTTCGGCAAGACGATCTGGCCTTGGACTTCCTCCCGGGCATTGAACTATTCTCTTTCAAATATATTCCGACACCAAATACAATCTTGGGGAAAGCTGGTCAAATGGGTCAGTGTCTGGATTCCTCCGCCAAAAAAAAAAAATCACAAAGCAACTCTCGCAAATCCCCATCACGAGACAAAAGAGCTGAAATGTGTGCCGGCAAAGTGTGCTATAGCTCCTCTGCTTTCAACTGATCCCCAAACAGATTAGTGAGTTGATGTCTATAAAGTCTATAAAGTCTATAAGGATCAACGTCACAACACTTAGCTCTTGCCCCATGTCCCCCGGCGGCATCAGCTGTTGCAAATGAACTGCAACCTGCGAGTCCAGCGGGTTTCTGTGGGGAATCATTGGCCCATGAGCCAAACCAATCTCCAAACACATTGGGCAGGCTTTCACATCCCCCCAGACTCCTCATTTTGGGATCAACTTCTCCAAACACATTGATGGCTCATTTTAAGCATACGCCAATTGGAGTTCAACAA